GTTTCGGGGCCATCATACTATATTTAGTGGTTTAGGGTTTAGGGTTTCGGGATACTATAATTATAATGAGGAGCCCTCAAAATGATATTGGTAATTATTTAGGCCCCTGCATTAGATTGAACTGGGACACAGAAGCCATCCGCTCTCGAGGCTGCGAGGCATGCAATGTGAGTGGCAAAAGACGTGCAATCATACAGAAGTCTAAATCATTACCTATACTATTTTGGGGGTTCCTTATGATAAATATAGTATCCAGGGCCCCAAAACCCTATTGTAATTATTAAGGCCCCTACAAATATTGCTAGAACTAGTTAATTAGTTTTCGTTGCCACCATCACCATCACCATCAGCATCATGGGCTTCCGTTGTGATGACCACGGTCTTGATCAGCACCAGCATCAGCAGCAGCTCCGCGGTGCTTACGACCATCATCACCATCTTGGTTTAGGGTTTAGGGTTTAGGGGTTTAGGGTTTAGGGTTTAAGGGTTTAGGGTTTAGGGTTTAGGGGTTTAGGGTTCATGGTTGTCGTCGTGCCCAGCCTTTCTGTGGTGGTCACAGTCATCCCGGGAGCCGGCATCATTACCATCATGTTTCTAATCATCATCCTCATTGTCGTCATCTTCAGCAACTGCATCACCACCTTGGTCAAGATCACGTGAAGAGATTATAGTCACCAGCACGATGTTCTTAATTCTTGTCTGTGTCGTTCCGACAGCCGCCCCATCATACTCGCAATTGTTGGTGTGTCGAGTACCAGACCATGGATCAGAGAGGTATGCAGACCTACGACGTGAATGCATGGGTAGTTGCTGAATCACTGCTGAGAATGTTTACCACTATTCTCAATTCATTCGTACGGTTAAATACTAGCGCTGATAGTACCACTGAAATGGAGATACAACTTGCAATGCATGTTCCTATGGAAGTTTTATCTGAGTTAATTGGGGCTCCGGAAACAGGTTCCATCTTTTTGATTCTTGTCCTACAGCCGAAGCCCATGCAGGTATCTTGACTGCTGCGTCGAGTCACTCCAAGAATACGGTGGTCCTCGTTTGGACAAGGAGGCTCCATTTTCCAGAAGCCCCGATATGCGAGCCACGTCTAGTGCCATCGATGCCAAGTTCCACTAAGCGCTTTGGCGAGCATGCTTTTCTCGAGTTCATACTGCCACACTGCTAGTTCCCTGCGCGACCCCTTGCATCCCAACTGCCACCCCAAGTCTGCAGCTTCTCGTTTGGAGTCTTGAGGCACCCGATATTGAGAACAAGGCTTGAAACGAACAAGGATCTGGTACTTCTGTGTATTACCAGCGCGGTCGGTTCGTTTCAAGCAACCCCACCACCTTCCGAGACATACCATTTCACTTGATCGGTTTCCCCAGCAGACTTTATAGTTTTGTTGTTTACCTTCCGGTGTATTCGTATGCTCAATCCAACTACCTCAACATCCCTGTTTCGGCATATCATGCACACCAAGCACTTTGGAAACAAACAGCAACGTGACACAGAATTATGTTCCCTTATCGTCCCTGCATTACATAGCTGTTCTACATCATACAAAGACACCCAGATTTCAATTGCTCAGGCTACCTCAGGCCCCTATAACATCCTTGTTATCGGCTTGTATGGTCCGGCTGGAGGTCCTGCGACTGCCCCTAAACCCTAAACCTTAAACCCTAAACCTTAAAACCTAAACCCTCAACCCTAAATCCTAAACCCTAAATCCATCCTTATCGGCTTGCATGGTCCGGCTGGAGGTCCTGCGAATGCAATTCATTCTGACGGCTTTGTCACAGATGTTCGGCTTGGTGGCTGCGGTGGGCCAGATCTACAAGATTCTCGGTTTAGGGTTTGGGGTTTAGGGGTTTCGGGGTTTCGGGGTTTAGGGTCTAGGGTTTGGGGGTTTAATTAGGGGTTTAGGGTTTGGGCGTTTTGGGGACTCTGAAGACAGGTTCTGATGCTTGCAAGTTGGGTCCTCCCGTAGGGGTTTACGATGCAAGGCCCAACTCTCAGGCCCTCAACGCGGAACCAGCATGGGAGTTTCGGAAAATAGGGGACCCTAATATAGTAACCCAAATAATAGGATCCTTATTTTAAGGACCCTAAAATAAGGTACCCCCAATTTCGGCAAATCCCGCATGAATTTGTTACCAGGCTTTGCACCACTGGTCCGACCTAGCTTTGAGGTGTTGCCCGTTATTGTTGGCTTCCGGTTCGCGGACCCTTCTGACCCCAGCGTTTGCACATGTGGGAGCTTCCGAAAATAGGGGTACCTTACTTTGGGGGTCCTTATAATAAGGGGTACTATATTAGGGTCCCCTACTTTCGGAAACTAACATGTCGAGAGGGAGAGGAGAAGGGCAGGAAGGCCACGAACAAAAAGCCACACATGCACTTCCTAAAGCCTGTTTGGCTAAACCCTAAACCCTAAACCCTAAACCCTAAACCCTAAACCCTAAACCCCTAAACCCTAAACCCTACACCCTAAACCCTAAACCCTAAACCCTAAACACGAGCGCCGGCCGCACATGAACAGACAAACGCAAGCATCTGGACCAAGGATGTGCCCGAAGAAGGAGTGGCCCAGCATCAAGGACCGGCCGACAGAGGGAAGTTTAGGGTTTAGGGTTTAGGGTTTAGGGCCATTACGGATTTTCTTGATGTATCGGGCGGAGTCTTGTGGAGTCTGCAAGCAGAGTCATGGGTGGGCTAGTTTATGTATTTGCCCACGAAGTATAAGTTAGGCGATGGAATTGAGGTTCGGGCTTGTATGTCCTTCAGTCCCTTCAAACCTCATAATAGCACCCTTCAGCCCTAAACCCCAAACCGTAAACCCTAAACCCCTAAACTCTAAACCCCTAATTCAAGAGAGCCCTGCAGAGAAGACTCTTGAGACAACACGCAAAGCAACCGTTTTGGGAACTTCAAAGAGAAGCGTAAGCCCCCTATCCTCGGATTCCTAAACAGCTACGGTCCAAACCCTGGACCCCTTAAACCCGAAGAAGGACCCGGAACCCACATCCGTGATTTGGAACTTTATGAAACTGCTAGAGAATCTCATAAACCCCATTATCGAACTGTAGAGCTTGCGAAATGCCTCGAACCCTAAACCCTAAACCCTAAACCCTAAACCCTAAACCCTAAAAGGACCGTT